GCTACGATAGCAGAAACTGGCACAACATGACTAAAGCAACACATTTAGCATGAATGAAGCAGCTGCAAACCAGAAACGAATGTCAGTATTTCCTGCATTAGTAAAGTCACTACAGCAAAAGCTCAGCTTAGATTAGATTCAGATTAGATTTCTGTCGATTAGCTGTAAAACAATGTCTGTGATAATCCAGCTCTCTTACTTTGGGTTGGGTTTGGGTTTCAGATTTCTGATCTAGACACTTCCTATCATATCAAACTGAATTGCACATGAATTGCACCCTAAAAGCATCATAGTAGTACACACTGGTGCAAAATATGGGGGGACGAGAGAGATATGTTCCCCCTCTTTTTGAAAGTATACAAGATAAATTTGGGGGGTCTCGGTCACAAAGGTGCATAGCTTATATTACTGATAACATGTTTTTGAGACATCTCAATGAAATACACAAAATTTCCACCAATTATACTGCATTGTTACTAAAGCTAAAACAGTGCCTGTGTGAATTAGGTTTTCACCTAGTTCTATGTTTGAATTGCTGTGTGTAGACTTTAGCCTCCTTATAGGCCTTTGCAGTCAACACATAACATCAAACATACAGTCTGATCATTTCCAGGCAGATTGCTGAGGCTGGTGTTGTTGGTGCAGTGCTTTTGGGTTCACTACTCTTGACGTCAGTATTAGAGCTGTTGCCATAGTGGTGAGAAGAACGCTGAAAAGCATGCTTGTGTAGACATGCTCATTGTTTATGCTGTATTGTCCCCAGGCTTTCTCCATAATGGTACAGTTCTAACACTTACGAGAAAACATGTTTGATCTAATATGCATAAATGCAGTAAATTGTGCAGTGAGGATGCTGTCCAAATTACGCTATTGTTTTTCACATTTCATTCCAACCAGCAATTAACATCAGAGTCTTCTCACACAAAGGTTTTGTTTAGCTCCGCCGAGCGAGTCCGGGTCAGTGACCAGTGAGCCAGAATGTTTTCAGGAGCATCCTGCTCTCTCCTCCTTCTCTCTCGCTCCCTCCGTCTCTCACTCTTGTTTTGAATTGTTATTTTCCTTTACAGCAATTTGTGATTCCACATTGCCATTTAAATCTCATATTGATAATGTCACTGAATCAGCGTTAGTTCATTTATAGCGCAAGTTTGCTTCCTCATAGATAACTGAATAAGTAGTCACTGAAAATGTGCCTAATGCTAATATATTAACGGACACATATCCTACATTTGTCTTGTAGCTTACTTTTTCCTCTCAGGTCCACTTTTAACATCTCTGTGTTTTTGTGTGCCAAAAACAGACACTATTAATTTTTTTTTACTGTGCCTTTAAGACTGATATATGTAAATAAGCTCTGTTCTGATTGACTGCCCTATATTGTGGCTCATTCAAAAAGCAGTCTGGGCTGAAACACTCCTTATATCTTCAGTGTAAATGGGCAAGGCTAACGTGCTGGAGGCTGAAAAGGCGAATAAATGTAGATGAGATTTTTATGACCTCACAAAAACGCAGTTCAAACCAGGCTAATTTTGCAGCTTAGTTTCCATATATGGACTGGAAAGTGAACAATATATTATGAAACTTCAGCAATGTTTATATACTACATCAAACATCAAAGTGAGGAAAGTTCATTTTACCATGATATGGGCACTTTAATGTTGCCATAGTCATTTTATTAGAGCGTCAAACTTTGTAAAAGTATATTTTTTAAAACAAAAGCTCAAACAAAATTGCCAATCTAATTCTTTATCCACAAGCTAATATGTTAGCCCCGAGCTAACACATTAGCCACAAGCTAGCATGCTAATTACAATTCAGTGATACATCGTATTGTTACATCTCAATATCACACCTGTTTTAGTCACTGCACCGTTTCATTTAGAAATAATTTAAAAATTATTTTACTGTTAAAGTTCCTAATGGGTTAACACCTTCATACGTTTAAAAATGCCTGACATTATGTTCCAAAGCGTGTCTTAAGATCATCAAGCACTGGCTTGAATATTCTGAGTGTGAAGCACAAAAAGACGGGTGAATCAGCCATCTGTTATTGTTATTGCACCAAAGATTTGGAACTCTTCTCTGTTAATATTCATCCGGCACCATTACTAGTTTGAAAAAGCAGCTAAAAACATTTCAGTTTATTTTAGCATTTTATTCATTTCTTTTGGATTAAGTTGGAATGCTTCATTTATATTCCAGTTTCTCGCTATTGTAATGCTTTCCTGATTTCAACAGACACGTTCTCTTCATTTTAAGCTATTCACTGTTTTATCACTGTTTGTATTGTTGAAGCACTTTGAGCTGCCTTTTTACGTATGGAAGGTGCTACATACAGTCACAGGCAAAGGGCCCCTTGGTAAATTACATGTTTTGTTGGTTTTCTAACTGAACATTTTCTGTTTATTTGCTGAGTTTAACATATGTGTACAGGCTACATTTCATGCCCAACATGTTAAATTCAGCTAATAAACAGTAATTCTTCAGAAATGAGAGAGCTATTCTTCTTATTATTATTATTATAAATGTGACTGGTGATAATCTGATCTTTCCTAAGAACACTCAGAAAAAGCTGCTTATCCTCCTGGGTTGCGTGGGGAGCTGGATCTCAGCGCTCATTGAGTGGAAGGCAGGCCTCTGGACAGTGGCCTTCTTAAACATATACTCCAATATGGGCAGATTTCTTGTAGGCTTGAATGGATGTTTGTATCATCCCTTGTACACTGCAACCCAGAAGTGGAACATATGTCACTTATCTCCTGCAAATGTCCAGCACAGCCCTCGGGGGCCTGTCTGCTTCCTTTTCCACTTTTCTGGCAGCCTGTGGTGTCAGGATTACCATATGTCTCATTTTGCAGAGCACTTGAGTGAGGATTTTATGATTTTGACTGATATCTTTTAATTTGAAGCTATTTTGCATTTGGTGCATTATTACGTGTTGCCTTTTTGATAACACTTTATTTGGTAGAACTTCACTGAAGGCCAGCGTTCATAAGACTACACAACACCTGTATGATCCTTTGCTGACAACTGACATAAACCTGTATGGATCATTCTACCGAACTGGCTCTGATTGACACGTTAATTATGTTTATTTTATTACAACAAATGATTGAATCAAAACTTTCCTAAACGTTTCAGTAGTGACTGTTTCGGTAGAGACAGCAGACCTCAAAAGTGCTAGATTTAGACAGCTTTGAACAGTTGCACACATATAAATTCAGAAAATCTTTCATTAAAACTCTTGCTGGTCTTTATATATTAGCAATCTTTAAGGTTACACACTGACTTTGGGAAACATTTACTTCAAAACAATGGAATGTAACTGCTCACCATGTGGCCATGAGGGACATGGATGCAGTCCCACTTCCTGCTTCAAAATGCAGGGGTGTGGCTAAAATAAGGCTCTGCCTAAGTACTAAAACTCTTTTTGTTTCAGTAGTGACATGAAAACGTGAGACAACGCTTTTTTATTAAAGTTATTTTATTTAAAAGTTAAACTCATGATGAATCTTAATCTTTCAGCTTCACTTTAAAAGAAAACAACGGAAAAAAATGCAAAAAAAATAAGTATTATTTTCACAAATGGAAATTTAGGGGGTTAGGATTTCAGACAGACACTTCGCAATAGAAAGCACCCTATAAAGTATGATTTTACATATATTTACCTTATTTCTATCTCTGTTAATGTCTTTGGTTTAAATAGACCATAACATAATCTGTTCAGTGTCTAAGGTCTGAATATGTAATTAGTTTTTAAAATATTTTTTCTTCTTTTACAGCAGGGTCCATATAGACATTCATAAAGGCAGTTATCATAACACTTGCTGAGGTACAATTACATTAAAATGGGCAAAAGCAGCCTTTGTGACAACTGATGCTTGTTTGAATAAGTCTTTCTAAATGTTTATGTAGTTTTATACCAGCTGTCATGCAAGACTTTTGTAGGTGTCATGCAGTCTGACGAATACTCACAAATGGACTTAATGACACATGCATAAGAAGAAGAACTGAATAATTAAAAAAAGCAATGCTTGAGTGTTTATGAACAGCTTATGTCAGTATTCACAAGATAACATCAGATGTGTATGAAGTAAATGAGACTGTATTGACACAAGTTCCCTTAAACTAAAGTGATGGACGTTTGTTCTATTTATAAGACTGTTATGAAGATTATATATAAATATAAATAAAAATAAGGCCTAGTTAAGATCGCCATGTTCTGTATCAGTTCTATGAAATATGACCTCAAACTAAGGCAATGCAGGGTAATTTACAGGAAAAAATGTATGAAAATAATCACTTCCTAGTTTGAAGGCATCAAAACCTTCTGCTGGGCTGGATTAAAGTGTTCTTAGCTAGGCAATTTTCATTGTTCCCATGTAAGTTCAATTACATTGGAACAATGCCTTATAACAGTGTTATAAATGGAATAAATGTCTGTCACTTTAGTTTGAAGGCCCTCATGTCAATATAATGTTATGTACTTCATAAAGCATCTTATGTCATCTTGCAGATACTGACATAAGCTGTTCATAAAACATTCCAATAAGAATTTCTTTTGAAGTCACGGTGCAGGTTACCTACAAATGAAGTGCCTTTTATGCTTTTGTGAAGGATATTTTGCTCATGTTTCCATGCAACCTGCAAGACTGTAGGCATGCCACTCTTTTATGAACTAGACACATAATTATCAAGATAAAATCCAATTTGGGGGTTGTCACTCAAACATTGAAGAATTATTTATGCATAGATTGAAATAATGGCATAATACCTACACATCCAGGTAGCTAAGCACCTGTGTGTTTGCACTGCAGTTATTTGTGATATGTCCTCAGAAGTTCTTTTCATTACAGAGAAAATAACAGTCAGGCTTTTGTCTTCTCATGCATAACTGTCCATAATCAGTACATGTGACACTGTTTCACAGAAAGACACCTATAGTGGCTTTTTAAGAAGACCTCCTAAGGCTAACAGATATCTGTGTTCCTCTTTTTCAGGCCGCTTCATTACAACATTTTGGGGAGAGAGAACCAGCAGACGATAAATTATGAATGTTGAACAAGATGACCTCTTACCATCAGCACCAGATGATGAGAGGTCCTAGATGGAAAGGGGCTTGGTTCGACCCCTTCTTTCTCCTGCTGTTGGCTCTGCAGTTGCTTGCAGTGGCAGGACTGGTAAGGGCCCAAACCTGTCCCTCGGTGTGCTCCTGCAGCAACCAATTTAGCAAGGTTATCTGTACCCGCAGAGGGCTGAGGGAAGTCCCTGATGGCATCTCAACCAACACTCGTTATCTGAACCTTCAGGACAATCTTATCCAGGTCATCAAAGTGGACAGCTTCAAGCATCTACGACACTTAGAGATCCTCCAGCTTAGCAAAAACCACATTCGCAACATCGAGATTGGGGCCTTCAATGGGCTAACTAGCCTTAACACCCTGGAGCTCTTTGACAATCGCCTCACAACCATCCCGAATGGAGCTTTTGAATATCTCTCTAAGCTCAAAGAGCTGTGGCTTAGGAATAACCCAATTGAGAGCATACCGTCCTATGCTTTCAACCGCTTACCCTCCTTGCGGAGGCTGGATTTGGGCGAGCTCAAGCGGCTCTCCTACATCTCAGATGGAGCGTTTGAGGGCTTGAGTAACCTGCGCTATCTGAACCTGGGCATGTGTAACCTCAAGGAGGTCCCCAACATTCAGCCCTTGGTTCGCTTGGATGAGCTGGAGATGTCTGGGAACCAGCTGACAGTGATTCGGCCTGGTTCCTTCAAGGGCCTCATCCACCTCCAGAAGCTGTGGATGATGCACGCCCAGATCCAAACCATTGAGAGGAACTCTTTCGATGACCTACAGTCATTGGGTGAGCTCAACTTGGCTCACAACAACCTCACCTTTGTGCCCCATGACCTTTTTACCCCTTTGCGCCATCTGCAGAGGGTGCACCTGCACCATAATCCCTGGAACTGCAACTGTGACATCCTGTGGTTAAGCTGGTGGCTTAGGGAGACTGTGCCGACCAACACCAGCTGTTGCGCCCGCTGTTACTCTCCTCCAAGCCTTAAGGGGCGCTACATTGGAGAACTGGACCAGAGCTACTTTCAGTGTTATGCACCTGTTATTGTTGAGCCTCCCGTAGACCTCAATGTGACTGAGGGAATGGCAGCGGAGCTCAAATGTCGGACAAATTCGCTGACCTCGGTCAGTTGGCTAACACCAAATGGCTCCATTATGACGCACGGGGCGTCCAGGGCACGTGTCTCGGTGCAGAACGATGGAACCTTGAACTTCACCAGTGTTACCATGCAGGACACGGGGACCTACACCTGCAAGGTCAGCAACATGCTGGGCAACGTTTCGGCTGCTGCTGTCCTCAATGTGACCTCCATAGACAACAGCGGTTTCAGTTACTTTACCACCGTCACTGTTGAGACCATAGAATCCCCGAATGACGGGGAGAGTAGGACCCCAGCGCAGCCTTCCTTTGGCTGGGTGTCATCCTCGACTACGAGGGGAACACCCCTCTCCACAGAAAAGGCCTACACCATCCCTGTGACGGATATAGATGTGGAGGGAGCTCTCAACGGTTTGGAGGAAGTCATGAAGACCACCAAGATCATTATCGGCTGCTTCGTGGCCATCACGCTCATGGCCGCCGTCATGCTCATCATATTCTACAAGATGCGGAAGCAGCACCACCAGCAGGATCACGATGGGCCCACCCGAACCATCGAAATCATCAACGTAGATGAGGAGCTGACGGGGGTTCCAGCGATGGAGAGCCACCTGACTCTTCCTCCCCTGGAGCATGAGCACTACAACCACTACAACTCATACAAGAGTGCTTACAACCACGCCTCCACACTCAGCTCGCTGCATAGCTCTGCGCATGAACCTTTACTAATCCAAGCCAGCTCAAAAGATAACGTGCAAGAGACACAAATTTGAATTCCTCGCTTTGAACAGGACAAAATTTGATCTGTACTAACAACGTTCTAGGTGTCGGTTGCGGACAATGTAGTGACGACGAAGACAGTGATGGAGAGATGTCACTGAGAACCAGGATGTATGTATTATTTCAACAAGTGTCTTTACAAGCAAAGATTATTTATTTAAAGATATGTGTAGTGGCTGAATCAAAAAAAAAAGAAGAAAACAGAAAAAAAGAAAAAAGTTAATATCCTTTTCCCACCTGTACTCATTTTTATTTTATTTTCAGATTATGAATGGTTTACTCAAAACAATGTGCTTGTGAATTTAACGTGAAAAAAAAAAAACATGCTTTGACAGCCTCATGTGAACAAACCACAAACATGACATTCCTCATGAATACTGACATATCTGTTGCATCTGTGGGCATGCTGCAACATTTTACATTTCCATATTTTCACATTTTAGTGAAACAAGAGCAAAAAAAGCTGGCCATTGAGGGCTTAAGACTGTAAATAACATTTGCTGCTACGGCGGCAAATAGTGCAGATAAGCTTCTTTGTTCATTTTTGGAAGTGCCCACTTCCCTAATCATATCACATACGATGGTAATATTTGGACAAAGGTGCGAAGATAACTATAGTTTGATATTCAGGTCAAATTATGGGCCGTTCTGATTGGAAATTAAGACTGTTCCTTCTGCATTATTTGAATGGGATGGCTATGGAGACTTTTTTCTCTTTTTTTAGAGACATTTGGACAAGTTTTCTGTAGCGTGTGGCATTTTCTCTATCTTCTCTATCATAAGGCTCCTTATGTAGGAATCCTGATATTAAATAAATAATTAACACCCTCTCAGATGAGCTACTGGTTAAAATGCTGTCAAATGGCCATCATAACAACTTCATAGATCCATTCCAAATTTTAAAAGTTAAAACTTGTAAGTCATATTTTAGTCCATTTGCTGTTTGAAAATGTCACTGGGAGTCTAGCACTGGTACCAGTTCTTAAAAATGCAACAAATTTGCTCCTGATTATTGATATAAATACTGGTCATATAATAGGATATACCAACACAATACTGTAGGGTAGTGTTTATAAGGCTACATGACACCTACATACGCTCATCATGACAAATGGCACAAACCTACATAAACATTTATAAGGCCTTATTCCACCAACCATCATCTATTATAAAGGCTGCTTTTCTCAGCTACACCTATGTCAGGTAACACAGGCCATTATTCATCAAAGTTGGTCAAATCTGACTGTAAAATGAGCGCACACAAATTTCACTGATAGTTTTGTTATTCTTCAGTTTCATCTTTGGCATACCTGTGCTGACAAACTGCACAAATTTACAGTTAATTAACCAAAACTATTATCAATATCATCTGTTATACCAAAAAGAAAAAGAAAAATACACTGTGCTTCTGTTTTATACAACTTACACCACTCAAAAAATTAAAAAATACAAAACACAGCTAGTGTGTACTGTGTATTAATGTGGCGTTTAAATATGTAATTTTAGAAAAGTAATCAGACTACACAATTACATCATTCAATCCCTACCAAAACATTGGCATGAATGAGGGTGTGCTTCATGTAAATTATATGTAAATGAGATACGGGTAGGCTGGCGCTTGATTTCACGCGCTGAAGCAAATATCTGCTTGTTTCCGTGTCGTACAAAAGTTACATGAATTAAACGCAGAGTAGATCATACATCACTACAGGCTGTCAAGTCTTTGCTCTTTTTTATGCAGTTTTAAGGAATAAGGGACATTGATTTTTCTGACATTGGCTTGTGTCAGAACACTTGAGATTGTAACAGCTGACTTTTGTATCTTAGAGTACATCACAGTGACATAATGCTGATGATGTAACAGCTCAAATCTTATAAATAGTAAAATGAAACTCACTTCACCGAAAGGCCACAGAAAATCATGAAGTGTCATGATAACCTACTGTTAGAGAAAAATGCCGCCTGACATAGGTGTTATGCCAACCTGACATTCAAACTGGCAAATGCAGCCTTTATGACAAATGATGCCTATATATTTTATAATTAAAATAAATAATGCAGGTCTATATAGGCTTATGTAGGTCTATGTCAGTTGTCATGAATGGCCTATGTAGCCTTATGAAAAGTGCCCTACAGTACATTGTTACTCAAAAAGAGTAGGTGCCATTACACAAAGCAGTGGCATCGTCTGCAAGCAAAAGCACAATTCCCTCTTTAATCTTATACGTAGTTCCCTTTTATGTTTCTATGGAAACCCCTTACCTTGCAAATATGCTGTTGGGTTGCTGCCCAGTGCTGTTGAACTTTACTATAAGTGCTACATATAGCATAAGACACCAGAAAGGTATCAGTGTTGCTCACGTTTGTATCTGGGGAGGAAGTGCAGTTAATTATTTATCATTTAAAGACTCTCAATTAACTACCATCGAATTAACAACCTTCGATCATGCACTACATCATATTAATTCATGTGCTCTGCTGTTTCATCACCATTTCCTTTTGTCTAATGATTGATTTAAGGGACACTGTGTTAGTGAGCGTGATGATAATGTGCGTGTTTAGCACCGTCGCTGCATTTATCACCATTTTGAGATGTCCTTTCTCAATATATCATCTGTAGCTGGTTCTGAAAAACAGTATCATTTTCATAAATTTTTTGTTCACTTGGCATATTTTAGTATTAGTCTCAAAGTGAGATATAATGGCAATGTCTCAATGACAATTTCATTAAGATTGAACTGAAGATGATGATTTAGGCAGTGCTGTTATGAACAGTGGTATTTGCTGGGTTGAGAGTGCTACAGTGATCCAGGCTGGGTATCGTTCAAACTGTTTGATACCGATACAAATACAGATACCTTGACCTCAATACCAATTCCTGAGCCGTCTTTTTTCAGTTCCTCCTTTGAAATACAAAATACAGGAAAGTACAGTAAAGGTCATATACTGATTTAAAATAAATGTTCTGTTTAAAATTAAGCAAAAACAAATGATATATTTTCAAAAATATGGATTTCTAAAATTATGTTAAAACAAATCCCAAAAATGTACAGATTTTTTACAGGAATAAAAGATTTAAAAACAGAAAATTACATGACATTCTATTTGTACTAACCTTTGTACAAAAAGTATTTTATTTCATTTTATTTTGCTTGGATGTAGGTGTATGTATTCTTTATTTGTATACATTTGTATATGTATACAAAATATAAGAAGAGCAATTTGCAAAATTAAAAAAGCACTAACATTATCTTGCTTACGTAATGTAATATAGACTAGTAGTGGGCAGTATTGCTGAAAATTTATGTCATGGTATTTGTGTGATAATTGTGTGTGTATATATATATATATATATATATATATATATATATATATATATATATATGTGTGTGTGTGTGTGTGTGTGTGTGTGTGTGTATGTATACATATACTATATATTTTTTTTTCCAATAAAACTTTTAAGAAAATTTATGTTTTTGTTACCTAAAAGTGACTTATTATTCTGAGAAGTCCCTTCACTTTTAATAAGAACCAAGTTTAACAACTCAGACTTAAATCTGAACTATTTTTATTGTGCACCATACAAAACCAAACAATATGTTGATAAGCCTATGTCAGTATTGCTTTCTAAAACTAGCCCTGCAAGCTAAAGTTCGCTTCTTATTCACAAGCTTTTTGTTCAAATTTTCCAGTCCACCTGGAGCAGCAGTTACATTCTGGCACCTGGACAGGCACCTGAATGGAACTGCTAACAGGAAATTCGAATAAGAAGCCAACTTCAGCTTTGTCGAATTTCTCATATAATCTGTCTCATGTGTGCATATAGTCAGAATTTGGAACGAGGCTTCTCAGGCAGCAGAAGTGCGGCAACCTGTTAGGTGTCCATGTAAGGCTAACACCAAATGACTGCCTATTCCTTTATGTCTGCTGCCTTAAAAACAAAGTGGTCTCCTTTAGATGCAGCGGTCTAGACAGCAGGAGGGTCTGCTGCATTTTCATTTTCATTTGAAACTTGACCGAAACATCCCTGACTCAACCCCTCAGCTAAACGGGTTAACGTTAGCATGGTTTGCACTGTTTATACATCACATTATCTGGGCTTACTTGTGGCATAACAGTATAACAACAAAACTCACACCCGAGAAAGAATTTCAACCAGTATACCGCCCACTACTAACACAGACCCCCAATCACCAGTCTAGATTTCGGAACAAGCATGCTTATTGGCTTACAGACACCAAGGTATTGAAATCTGGTATTGAATAGCGTTAAAGTCATTTGATCGGTACCATAAAAGTATTGAATTGTGATACTCAGCCTTAACAGTGATTAAGCAGAAGGTTTTATGAAAGCTACATGGCTGAACTGTGAAAACTGATCAATGTTAGTCTCCTCAACCCATCAATACAACCTAGCATAAAGAAAACAGATGAAGTGTATGATAAATAATGATCATGCGTTTAGAGCTGGGCAGTATGGCAGAAATGTAAGACATTTTGACCTTACCTGATATGTCATCAGATTCATTGTTTCTGATCTCTGATAAGTTGGGACAGACAATGTAAGCGCCACATGTAAAAAAGTACTGTCAGAAACTGAATCCAGTTATTTGTGTTCAACATTACACATTCCTTTTTACACTAAATCCAGGACTAATTATGCTGTCTTTTTAAACATACAGATGTTTTATTACCATGTTGCCCAGCCCGACGATGCATCTGATCAGTTCCTGTAAAGATTTGCCTTCTACTGTGGGTCCAACGTCTAAGCAGGCCAGAAAGGAATGAGGATAATCAGATTTTTTTTCCTTTTGCCATTTTCATCAGTTTAAAAAATGAAGTATTTGGCCTCCATCTACAACCACTACTGCATTCACTTGAGCAAAGCCTAATAACGTACAATGTGCTGACAAATTTCTTGAATTTTTCAAGTGTATTTTTAGTGCTACGCTAACAAGTACGATCTGATCTGTTCCCTGTTGAGCTTTCTCTCAATCCCACTGGAGTCTAAATAGAGGATTCTCAATGATTCACTAACTGTTGAATGTTGAGGTAAACCATCGCTTCCCTGCCAGTCAACCTTTTCCTTTTTTTTTTAGGCCGAATAGGCCGGCCTTACACTTGATATTGTACAGAATGGTGGGCGGGGCTAAACCAGAACTATAGCCAGACGGTGCTGGGCCATTTGAAAGAGTGAC